TTATCTTCCTTTCTCTGAGTTCGGTCCAACAAAGCGGATCTTACACTTGCGCCCATACAAAGCCTCATACGGGGCTATATGGGTGCTAGGTTGGTAACTATTATTATACGTGAACTCCACTAGCAGCAGGTGGTCCTCACAACTACCCTCAAGATCCGTAATGATCCACCTAAGCATATCCTCGAGGATATGAATAATGTGCTTGGACTGTCTGTCTGTCTGAGGATGGAAGGTGGTGTTAAAATGAAGTTTGGTGCCTAGGGACTCATGAAGGGTTTTCCAAAACTGAGAGGTAAACCTAGGGTCTATGTCTGAAATGATTGAAGATGGGACTCCGTACAACCTAACTATTCGCGAATGTAGTGCTATGCTAAATTTTCTAAGGTAAAATCCATCATATCCGGTAATAAATGAGTTGACTAGGTCAACCGGTCAACTATCACCCAAACTGCATCATGCTTATACCTCGTCATTGGTAAACCCGTCATAAATTCCATATTTACTCGATCCCACTTCTACTATAAAATCTGAATCAGTTGGAGCAATCCTGATGGAACATGGTGTTCCGCCTTGACTTGCTGGCACACTGGACACTTCGTAACAAACTCGAACACCTCTATTTTTATATGCGACCACCAATACAATGGTCGCAGCTTTTGGTTCATCTTGTTACTACTCGGATGGATAGAAAATGGACTATAATATGTTTCGTGAAGGATCTTACTTCGCAGCCGTTGGTTTATGGGAACACACAATTGTCTCTTAAAGAATAACACGTCTTTCTTGCATAACTCAAAGCCTAGGGCCTCGCTTCAGTGGATGATAACCCTATAAAAAGGCTATTTTCTATGTCTTTTCACTTAGGTTATTAGTTGTCTTAAGGCTCATTTAGGCTCATATAGATTCATTTAGGATCATATCATTGCAAATAGTGCAGATGTTATGTTGCAACATCTTATTTTGTAAACTGGTGCTGCTTAATTAGGAAGGTTGTGGTTGTCTGTTGATAGATAATTGAAAACATATGAGAGAAAGGAAATTTGGTATAGCATTTTTGTTTGATGAAGCATTGGAAAAATGCTGCAACATTCTTGAAGGCATTCCTGTGTGCATAAAATGACAAAAAGAAAAGAATATATTTTTTGAAGAAGGCAACTGTCCAGCCCATACGTGGTCCCTTCCTGCCAGTTATCGTGTGAGGACCACAATCATCATTACACCCCTCACATGAAGGGAATGATACCTAGGGTAAAAGGGATTTTGACACAAAACCCTAGGTTATTCCACTAGTATAAATAGATAAATATATCCTAGAATTAAATGGGGTCTTTTTGAGAAAAAGGTGAGGTAGACAAGAGTTAAAGGTGACTACCAAAGCTTCCATTTTTCTTCCCCTTTTTAATATTCTTTAATGTTTCCTCCATATCCAAGCTTTAAGGGGGTAGCAAGCTAGGCGTTATAGAGAAGCTAGCTTGCTAAGGTGGTTCGCGGTGGTTCAAGGGAGCTCATATCAATGTGCATATTAGAAGTTGCCTCTATCCTTGTGCTTTCATTTCATTTTTATTTTGTGGGTTGTAATTGAACAAATTATTTCTTTGGATGATTTGTACCCCACCATGAACTAACCTTATTTCATGTGGATTAACTATGGATGATTAAGTTTTTGTTTAATTAATGGTTGATGTTTTTTTTAATTAATGGTTGATGTTTTTATGTTATTATTTGCTTTGCTCATTGTATTTATTTATTAAGGATTGTAAGAGCTTACAAGAGTAGCCATTTCTTAAGTTTGATGCTTAGTATTGAGAGAGCTAAGTGAGATTAACGTGAGCAATGGGGCTTAGCAGCTAACTAGGTCCTAATCCACCTTAGAGATAAGAATATGATTTCAACGACTAAAAAGGGTAGTACTTAATCGATAGGGAATTACTGCAGTTCACACTGAGAGGTATTATCATAGTATTTTTCTCAGTCAGGTTCCTTACTAGAGATAGCCTAGGAACATTTTTAATAAATTCTGTCGATAAAATAGGCCATAAAAGCTTAAACCATTTTAGAAGACAATGCTTAGGATTCCTTAGTGACTTATCAATTATCCCCAGTGTAGCTTGTTAGTGTGAGTTTGCCAGCTATCTTATTCATTCCCAAATTCTCAATTTAATTTGCCTTAACATTCTTAAACTGTTATTTTTTATTTTGCCTTAGTATTTCATATTTGATACTTTCCATATTACCATCACATTTCCATACATCTCGTACATTCCATTTTTCCACAATATTTTCAATTGTTCATACCATTATACATATATTTAGATTTAGTTAGTGACACCTTTTTGCTACATCTTGCTTAAAAATCTCTCCAATCCTTGTGGAGACGATACTCACTCACTACTATATTACTTGCATCAATTGTGTAGACTTGTACATAATTGCGTGCTATATTTAGTACACTGATACACATGATCAAGTTTTTGGCGCCGTTGTCCGGGATCGTTAATTGGTGATTTTTAGGTTTAGCTATAGCATTAGGTTTTGTTTATAGTTTTTTTTGTAATTTTTATTTACTTTTTTAGGTTTTACTATTGCATGACCAGAAAGACTATTGAGGAACCACTATATCCTCTAGTACCTAAGATTAAACACTTATTCCATTAGAGACGACGAGCTCAACGTGCTCATAGAGCCATGTAGGATAGTCAAAACCCATGAGTTCAACAAGTTCAAGATCTTGTAGATCAAAATGTTGTAGAAAATCAAAATGATGGACTTGTACCTCGATCGAGAGCTATTCGAGATCATTTAGCTCCTATATTAGATTATCTCAACCCTAGGATTAAAGCTCCCAATATTCAGGCAACCCACTTTGAGCTCAAACCAGTCATGTTCAACATGCTGAACTCAATAGGACAATTTGGTTGCATGCCTTATGAAAATGCAAGGTAACACATTTGTGCTTTCTTGGAAGTATGTGATTATGTTAGGCAATAAGTAGTGCTTGAATATGTGTTGAAGCTTAAATTATTTCTTTATTCTTTGTGTGATCGAGCAAGAGCTTGGCTTAGAATAGTTTCATCTGACTCGATAGAATCTTTAGTTGTTCTGTGCAAAAGTTTTTTCCTGTGGTATAATCCACCTAACATGAACACTCAACTTCGAAATGATATAGCATCTTTCTGTCAAGCTGATGAAAAGTCTATGTATGAGTGTTGGGATAGATACAAAGGATTACTTCGCAAGTGCACCAACCATGGATTCTATGATTGAACTCAAGTTGTGATGTTCTATAATAAAGTATATGCTCCTACATGAATGATGATTTATGCTTCAAAAAATGGCATAAGTCACCAGAAGAGGCATTCAATATCCTAGACAAGATTGATGATAACTCTCTAAAAGAGTTATCTTTAGTAGCTTTTTTCACCTAGGTTTAGTTTGATCTTGAGCATGTTTAGGATTAAATTTACTTAGTTTTATACATTTTGCATGATAAGAGCATTGTGGGTTACTAAGGGTTAAAAAGTTAGTTTTGCTGTTGAAAACTGTTAATCTAATGTTGTAGCATTACAGGAAATGTTGAGTGAATGCTGTAATGGTGGTCTAATCTCTAGATAGTTGGTTCTGGATTGGGACAACTAGCTCAGACAACTGTCATTTAGCTGGATATCACCTGAAACATTAACATATTTTATTGGGAGATGAAATTCTCATCCAAGATATAAAAGGAGAGTATTTGAGCAAAAAGAGCATGACGATTGAGAGTTGTCCAAAGTAACATTTTCCACTTTAAATCTTTAAGAGCCATGGAAGCCTAAGCCATCTGCCAAGTATTATTGCAGAACAAGGGAATTTTGCTGAGTAGCATCAGCGGTCAGCGGATCTCTATTCAAGGCCTTCTATTGAAAAAGGGAGTAATTTGAATGTTCAAACTTTTTTTGGATGATATTATGAATTTCATATTTTGTGTTTATTTTAATAATTATTTTAAGATCTTGGTACTTTATGATTGTGAGTAGAAATACTTATAATCAAATATATAGTATTTTTACTTAATTCTAGATATAGTTTCAGACGATCTGCTATATACCTTTGTGAGCATTGGTGTTGCTGAGTAGCATAGTGTGTTCTTAAAAGTATACGATCAATTAATTAGTGTTGTTAATATTTTGAGCTTTTAATTGATGAAAGTGATTAAGTAGTTCAAAAGGTTTTAATCAATACTAATCGCATAAATTAAGTGTACATTGTTTGCATGAGATTTTAAGTTCATAATATTTTATCCATTGATTTAATAGCTGACTAAATGCTTTCTAGAATGCTACCACTTAATTACTTGAGTGATACGTGTACTTTCTTAATTGCTATAGCATTTTCGTAGCATCAAGTTTTTGGTGCCATTGTCGGGGAGCATCGATTTGATTTAGGGTTTTCTTGATTTCACTTGCTTGGTTGTTTTATTTTGTAGGTATTCTTAGTTTCTATTTTTACTAGTGTATCCCCCGAAGTGAAGAATAATTAGATCCATTTGAATCATAGATTGAAAGAACATTTCGAAGATGTCGCCATAAAGTTGCTATGGCTAGATGAGGGAATGATATATTAACCCTGTTATAGAATAGAGAGAATGATAAGTTGGCCGCTCACATTGGAGCAAAGCAACCATATCAAAATGTGTATGATTGTAATCACCCTATTTGTGAACATGTGGTCCCGACATTGGATGATTTGTATATGGGCATTGTGAGGTCAGCTATTAATGCTGTGAATTTCGAATTAAAGCCAATTATGTTCCTAGACCTCATTTGAGATCATTTATGGAGGTTTGTAATTCTTTTATTCAACAAGGTGTTCCAGAGAATGCACTAAAGCTGAAGCTATTTCCTTATTCGTTGCGTGATAAAGCATGGGTTTGGTTGAGATCACTGCCACCAGATGCTATAGCGTCCCAGAATGAATTAGCACAGAAATTCTTTTTACGGTTTAACTTTCCAAATATGAATCATAAGCTTCGAAACAATTTAACCTCATTCAAGGAAATGGAAGATGAAAGCTTGTATGAAGCATGGGAAAGATTTAAAGAATTGTCGCGGAAGTGTCTTATGCATGGATTCCCACATTGGACTCAAATGAAGATGTTTTATAATGGGTTAAATATACACACTCGTATGGTGGTTGATGCCTCAGTAAATGGAGCTTTGCTGGATAAGACATACAATGAAGCATATGATATCCTCGAAAGGATCTCCATTAATGATTGTCAATATCCTAATACGTGCAATACGTTTGGATGACGTAATACTGCAGCAGTAGACTCTTAAGCTTTCAACTCAATGGCATCTTAGATTTTAGCATTGACTGAAATGGTGAAGAAATTGCACAAACCATGAGGAATTTATGAAGTTAAAGCCTCATCTCTAATCTCTTTCGTATACTGCGGCAATGACCATAATTTTGATGAATGATGCCCAAAATCCGGAGTCTATCTATTATGTAAAAAATTATCAAAGAAAAGATAATGCTTTCGGTAATACATACAACACAAATTTCAGAAATCATCCAAATCTTTCTTGGAGAAGTCATAATGTCGCCACTCTACAACATTAACAATATCAGCAACATCATTATACTTAGCAGAGCCAAATGCCATAACCACAAACACAATAATCTGTTGCTCAGCCAAAAAAAGGCATAATTACCAAGGTCAATCTTCAAACCAAACTTCAACTTTAACACCTTTTGAAGCTACGATGAAAGAATATATGACAAGTTCTGCCTCATTAAGAGCTATAGGAAATCAGATGGGACAAATGACTAATGCTCTAAATATTCGATTGTAAGGAACGCTCCCTAGTGACATAGAGAATCCTAAGTAAAATGGTAAAGAGCATTGCAAGGCCATTACTAAAAGAAGTGGGATTCATATTGGGGAACCAGTTGAAGAACCTAAGAAAAATAATGAGGAAGTTCATAAGCATGGTAAAGGGAAGAGCAAGGAAATTAAGCCTAAATTGCCTGTGAGTCAATTCATAGTCCCATATGTAGTGCAGAGTAGTAATTTAGAATCATTAACAACAATAATCTCTACTGTATCTAACGCTCAAATGACTATAATACCTCAACAAAAACATCAAAAAAATGCCTCCACCATTTCTACAGCGCTTAAAAAAGACAAAGGAAGATCAATAGTACAAAGATTTTATTGATGTTCTTCGTCAACTCATAATTAACATTCCATTGATTGATTGTTTAGAGCAAAACTCGAACTATATCAAATTCAAGAAGGAAGTTCTCTCAAAGAAACAGAGACTTGGTGAGTTTGAGACTGTTGCTTTTACTGAAGGCAATAACGCTATGGCTACAAGTCAATTGCCATCAAAGCTTAAAGATCTAGGGAGTTTTACTATTCCTTGTAAAATTAGTGACACATTTTTAGGTAAAGCTTTTATGTGATTTGGGTGCTAGTATAAATCTAATGCCATTGTCAATCTTTAGGAAATTTAGGAGCGGCGATCCAAGGTCCACTACGGTGACTTTGCAACTTGTTGATCACTCTACTGTACATCCTAGTGGTATTGTGGAGAATATTCTTGTGAGAGTAGACAATTTTATTTTTCCTACGAACTTCATCATTTTGGATTATAAAATGGAAAAAGATGTTCCAATTATTCTCGGCCACCCATTCTTTGCCCAGGCCGAGCTTTAATTGATGTTGAAAATGAAGAATTAACTATGCACTTGAACGATGAGCATATTACTTTTAATGTCTTGAATAATGTTTCCTATATAGATGACAATTCTACCCATTTTTCACTTGATGCTATTGATATTTTTGTACATGAGTATTTGGAAGAATGCTATAGCGTAGATAAAGCCCTATGTGATTCAATAACATTTGAGGAATTTTTTGAATGATGCAGAAGAAGAATGTTGTAGAAAATATCTACAAAATATTGAACCTTTGTAAATGAATGATCATACCATTCAAGCACCAAAACCATCTATTAAAGAACCACTAAAACTTGAATTGAAACCTTTTCCACAGCATCTAAAATATGTTTACCTTGGAGAAAATGAGAGATTTCCAGTTAGTGTGGTAGCACAGTTAACAGCGTAAGAAGCTCAGTTGATTGATGTGCTAAAGCAGTATAAGAAAGTTGTTGCGTGGAGCATTGCTGATATAAAAGGCATTAGTCAATTATTTTGCATACATAAAATTCTTTTGGAGGATCCCAATAGTAGCTCAATTGAACATCAGTGATGATTAAATCCAATCATGAAAGAATTGGTTAGAAATGAGATTATCAAACGATTGAGTGCTAGAATTATATGTCCGATTTCGGATAGCAATTGGGTTAGTCCTATACAATATATTCCAAATAAAGACGACAATACTGTAGTGAATAATGATAAAAATGAATTAGTGCCAAAAAGAACTACAACTGGTTGGAGCATATGTATGGATTTTAGGAAGCTTAACAAAGCAACGAGGAAATACCACTTCTTATTTCCATTCATAGACCAAATGCTAGATCGACTTGTTGGTAATGTTTTTTATTGTTTTTTAGATGGATATAGTAGTTACAATCAAATTGCTATAGCTCTAGAGGACCAGGAGAAAATAACTTTCACAAGTCCGTATGGTACCTTGACTTTCTGTAGAATGCCATTTTCTCTAATATGATTGAAGACTATCTTGAGGTTTTTATGGATGATTTTTTAGTATTTGGGAAAGACTTTGAGAAGTATTTGAACAATTTGGCTGCAGTTTTGAGGAGATGTTGAGGAGACCAATTTAGTTTTGAATTGGGAAAAATGCCACTTTATAGTCACGGAATTTCCTACTACGACAAGTAGACAAAACAAAAGTGGAGGTTATTGAAAAATTGCCACCACCTACTAATGTAAAGGTATTTCGAAGCTTTCTTGGTCATGCTGGTTTCTATAGAAGGTTTATTAAATATTTCTCTCAAATTGCTAAGCCATTGTGTTCGTTGCTGGAGCAAAACAAAAAGTTTTTCATTGATGAAAATGTGCTTAAATCTTTTAAGATAGTCAAGGTGAAGCTAGTAAATACCCCTATTATGATAGCACCAGATTAGAATTTACCCTTTGAATTAATGTGTGATGCTAGTGATTTTGCTGTAGGTGCAGTGCTAGGGCAACAAAAAGATATAATGTTTCATGTGGTACATTATACAAGTAGGACATTAAATGAAGTCCATGTTAACTACAACACAACTGAAAATGAGTTGTTTGTTGTGGTGTTTACTTTTGACAAGTTTCGTTCATATATAGTGGGTACAAAAATGATTTTCTATGCTAATCACTCAGCGTTGAAGCATTTATTTACCAAGAAGGATACAAAACCTCGTTTGATTCGATGGGTTCTTTTACTTTAGGAATTTGATATTGAGATTCTGGATAATAAGGGATCTAAAAATCAAGTGGCTAATAACTTATCCAGGTTAGAATATGGCAGCGAATATGGCAACATTTTAGTAATTACAGAAGGATTCTCTGATGAGCGTCTGTTAGCTTCTACATCATTACTGTGGTATGCTGATTTTTCCAACTATCTAGTTAGTGGGATAGTGCCACCCGTTCTTAATTATTAAGGCTGAAAGAAATTTATGAGGGATGCAAAGCAAGACAATTGGGAGGAGCTATATTTATTTAAGCAATGTAATGATCAACTTATGCAGTGATGTATTCATTAATATGAACAACAAAACATTTTATAGCATTGTCATAGTGCCCCTATGGAGGACATTTTGGAGGTATGCGTACAACAACGAAAGAGCTTCAATGTGGATATTATTGGCCATCATTTTTTAAAGACGCCAATGAATTAGTAAAGCATTATGATCGCTACCAGGGAACATGGAATATCTATATGAGAAATGAAATGCTAATATAACCTATTTTAGAGATTGAGTTATTCGATGTCTGAAAATTAAATTTTAAGTGTCCTTATCCATCTTTCTGTGGCAACCTCTTTATTCTAGTTGCTATAGATTATGTATCCAAATGGGTGGAAGCTGTAGCTTTGCCAAACAGTGATGCTAAAGCAATTATATAATTTTTGCACAAAAACATATTCACTCGTTTTAGAACTCCTCATGCTTTTATCAGTGATGAAAAGTTCCAATTTATCGGTAATCAGATTACTAAAGCATTGTATAGATATAGAGTAAAGCATAAGATTGCTACAACATATCATCCACAGTCTAATGGTCAAACCAAGGTGTCTAACCGAGAAATCAAGCAAATTCTTGAGAAGATGGTAAGCCTTCTAGAAAAGATTGGTCACAACACCTTGAAGAAGCATTATGGACTTGTAGGACCTCTTACAAGACTCCGTTAGGGATGTACCCTTATCATCTTATTTAGATCTACTTCTCATTCGGAGGCCATTGTGGCTGGAAATATCGCAATGTAATCAATCCGGCTATGAGCATTTTTGAATGCAATTTTTTACACGAAAAGTGGAATGGATGGAATTGAAAACCATGCACTTTTTTTCTTTTAATCTAATCCCCATGATGAGAGACTACTTAGTGATGGCTTTAGAGATATAATTTGGTTGTCTTGACTGGATGATTGCGAAGGGTTAAAACATCTAATCATGAAAGATTGATCAGCCTTAGCTTTCTTGATCAATATTCGACCCTCTTTTATGTCTTTCCTCTCTGAGTAAAGCTTATCTCTCACAAGGGAAACTTTATCTCTCATTACTTATTCATTCATTGTTGGTCTAGTGGAACCCTCGACGACCACATTTGATTTTTGGAGCTGGCTTGAGATATCTTGCTCCTTAACAGGTCCTCGACCACTTGTCACTTTCATTTCAACTCCACCACTAACATTCATAATCCCATCCAAATCTTTTATAATGGGATTCTCTAGTGGCTTCTCTCTATGGATCACAACATTCACCATGTCCATTAATTTGGCCATTTGTTCTCTTTATTCATTCTGAAACCTTTTTGCTTGATCGATGATCTCTTGTTGGGTCTTTACGAGTTGCTCCTGAATTCTCTCAATCCTACCAACACGCGCTAATATCTCATTCATTACCTTTTATCTTTCCAGAAACACACCCTGAGTAAC